GCGTCCAGAGGCGGAATGGCCGCGAGAGAAAAAAAAAGTCTCCCGCACACGGCCCCGCCCAAAAAAAGCCCGACCGCCGCCACCGAAAACCAACGCCAAGTCGCGGTAGGGGACTGATTGTTGGCTCTTGGCGCCCCTCCCTGCGAGGCGCCGAACCCGCCAGGGCGGCAGCCGAGTCGCCCGCAGGGGTGCGTCCCCGGGGGCGACCGCGCACCGCCAGAAGGCGCGCCGCAGGGGCGCGGGGCGAGGGAGCGGGGGAAAGGAAGGCAAGGAAGAAAGAGGAGGCGCAATTAAAGAGAGCGGCACGACACACGCGCAGCCGGGGCCGGCGGGGCGCGCCGGCAGCAGCGGCGGCCCCGCGGCGGCGCGGAGACGCCGAGCGGAGAAGGGGAACAGTCGGTGCTCGGAGAAACGCCCATATAAACGCGAGCAGCGAACGCAAACACGCAGCAAAAGGGGGGAGGAAAGAAAAAAAAAAGGACGAAAGCAACGGGGGGCGGGGCCGGCAGCAGCAGCAAAAAAAAAACCACCATCTTGGCAAGCACAACGTGCGGCCAGGCGGAAAGCAGCAAACGCACAAGCAAGAAAGAAAAAGGAAACTGAAGAAACAGCCAGGCCCCTCGCCGCGCCCAAAAACCCTCGGCACACCCGACGCGCAGCGCCTGCGGCAAAGAAGCGCGGACACAATACATACGCATGTATCGACGCGATCGCTCGTAAAAACGCAACGTGCAACAGCGACGCGGAGGGCCAACGCGACGCCCGCGGTCAAGCATCTCCATTCGCGCCGTGCAAAGTAACCGAGGGACGCGCAGAACTCCAGCAAAGACGACTCCGCCAGGAGAGGCAAAGCGCAAACACGCCCACGACGCAAACGGGGGCCACTGGAAGGCCACACACAGTTCATGCGCCCCGCGCGTGCGCCCGGCCTCAGCCCACAGAAGCCGACTCCGAGGACACAGGGGAGATACGCACCCTCCGCCCAGCCCCCCGCAGCGCAGCTGGGCGCACGTCGGCGGGCCCCCCACACAACTCCCGCGGCGCCTGAGCAGCAAACCCGCTCGGGGACGCAATGGGTTGCAGGCCGGGAACGCACGGCGGCGCAGCCTGCGACACGGAGCAAACGCTCCGCCCCCCACACGTCACACGCGCCGATCCCGTTGACGAAGCGACGGACCACAAAAAAGAAATCGGCGCACACGGCTCCACGCTTCGGCCATAAACACGGCTGACGCGACGCGCGAGCACCTCCACCAGCGCGCTGCAGTGCTCATCGCAGGACATCACCCCCCGCTCAACCCCATGCACGCGCCACCTCGCACAGAGAGACGCAAGAACACCGGCACGCTGGCGGGGAGCATACGGGCTCAACAAACACGAAATAAACCGAACGGATGTGTCATAGCACGTGTTGCGAGTAAAACCGGAGGCATTACTGTCACCGACACTGGCGTCAAGATCCGCCTCCTCGCCCTTCTCACACCGCAGCGCGGCGAAGGTGCGACCGGGCACGGCGTCCAGCTGGTACATCTCCACCGGCCTCGGCACCCCGCGCAGCGCCACCGCGCCCAGCGCGCTCACCTCCACCTGCCCCCGCTCAGCCGTGCTCAGCGCCATATACGCCGCACGCGTCAGCAGCACCTGCCCGCCGTTTCCCACGCCCTCCGTGCGCGCCGCCACGTTCGCCGTGTCGCCGTAGTAGTCGTACCCCTTCGTCACCTCGTCGTGCCGGATGT